CAAAGGAAAAACAAGCAGCCGCCGACCAAAAGAAAGCGAGATTCCATCAGCCAGAAGGTGATCATTTGACTCTTCTCACTGTTTATAATGGATGGAAAGCGAGCAAATTTTCGAATGCTTGGTGTTTCGAGAATTTTATTCAAGCACGAAGTATGCGACGTGCTCAAGATATTAGGAAGCAGTTGCTTGGTATTATGGATCGATACAAGCAAGACATCATTTCTTGTGGCAAAAATTATAACAAAGTTCGTCGCACTATTTGTGGAGGATTCTTTCGACATGCTGCCAAAAAAGATCCGCAAGAAGGATACAAAACATTGGTTGAAGGAACTCCTGTATATATTCATCCTTCTAGTGCTTTGTTCAATAGAGGTCCGGAATGGTAAGGAATAAACTAATTTTTCTATTCTTATGATATACAGTTTATTTAACAAACTCAACATTAACATACGTGTTATCTATTTTAGGGTTATTTATCACGAATTGGTCCTCACAACCAAAGAATACATGCGAGAAGTGACAGCGATTGAACCAAAATGGCTTACAGAAGCTGCGCCAACTTTCTTCAAAGTATCTGATGCAAACACTATAAGTAAGCGTAAGAGATCCGAAAAGATTCAGCCACTGTTTAATAAATACGAGAAACCCAATGAATGGCGACTTAGTCGTGTTAAGAGACATCAAAGAGTCTCGCAAACTTTCGGTTAGATTTATATTATTTATGTAGAATTTTTTTAGCTAAACGTTTAATTTTAAAGGCTAAAATTACAATGGATGGGTGTTCTAGCGCTAACAATTATTCGAGTCGAAAAAGCATTCACTTTGTGTTAACATTAATACTTGTAAAACCTGTAATTAATCAAATGACCTCTCTTCACGTCATCTTCGAAACTTTTAAGTTTCTGTATTCTACCAACTTGAAGTTCCAAGCATGCTTTTATCTCTTTATTTTTTATGCTACGTAAAACATTGTATTTATATATACAGAGATAGATTAATATTATGCATATTACCTAATTTCGGCCTCCGAGTCATATTATCATTTCATGTATGATAATTATTATAAAAGGTCGAATTAACTTTATCGTTATTTAGTGAATGAAATTGACCTGTAATTAAGTTTGCAACTTCAAACATTATAAAGTTGGATGTATGAACGTTTATAACTCGTGTCTAAAATTTATAAATAAATCTATGTATAATCAAAATTTATGCATATTCATAAGATTTTAGTTGCGGAAATTTAAAAGGACTCGATTGGTATAACGTCCCTGCTTATCTAGTTGGATGGCTCAGTCTTTTCCCAACCTTACGTTTTATAACTTTCTATACGATAATTATAAAATGTAATAACCAATAAAAAATTGACATGAAATAAAACGTGATTCATGAGATCACATTATTTGTCCAACTGGCCAAAAATAATGAATTCAAATTTAAAAAAAGTAGGGAGCCAGTTGCTCAACTCATGCAAAGCTTTATGACTTGGCCAATCTTCGTTGAATGTTGATCATCGGTTAACAAATAATTACGTAAAAATCACATTATATTTTGAAACCGAACTATAATATTATTATAGTGGAATTAAGGTAATAACAATAGCGATCATATACTATTTATTGATAACAAACTAATTGGTTCATGTGCATCTTTATATATAACATTACACTAAAAAAGGGCTACATATATATATTTGTCATTAAAGTTTTTTATAACATAAATAATGGCCGAGTGTTTGTTCAAGTTTTCATAAAGAAACATACGATACTTTCTCCTCTTTTACTATTACTATCTACATCTTGGCACAATTATAAGTATTTGCTCGCCTCGCTTTTGTTAGCGACGTGCGAAGAAGACATCTTTTTATTGATTTAACTCGTAAATCTATTGAAAAAAATTACTGTATTCATAAAATAAGAAGAGAAAGGAAGAAATATGGCAACCCTCGAAACTACACACAGTTACTCGCCTACCTGGCTTGGTCTGGCAACACAGCTTGGAATATCTGCTGGCATATCAATTTATTGTTTGCTACAGTTTGAGTGGAATCGTCGTAAGAAGTCCATGCAATATCTATATACTCCAAGAACAAGGCTTTCAGAGTGCGTAACTTAATCTTTGTATAGAGTTGTGATTACAATCGATAGATAAATGAAAAATGAATATAATCTCTTATCTGGTTCATTATAATTAGGAAGACATCTCCTCCAATACCTCATGGTCTCTTCTCATGGATAAAAGCAACGATATTCCTACCCGAGAGCTTTTACTTACAAAATGTGGGCCTAGACGCGGTCATGTATCTCCGTTTTCTGAATATGGCGCTAAAATTTCTGTTACTTAACGTCGTGGTGGTATGCTCGATTTTAATGCCAATAAATTATTTTGGGAAAGGTGAAGAAAAAGGGGTGCAAGTGTTTTCTGTGAATAACCTCAGCAATAGCCATTACGTTTCTCTCTGGGCACACATGATTTGCACGTATGTTGTTAGTATTAGTTGGATGTACTTGTTGTTCGTAAACTATTGGGATTATATGATGATGCGTAAAGATCATTTTTTGAATAAAGCGAAAAGGGGGTCGGTGAGTGCACGGACGGTGATGGTGTCACGGATTCCGGAGGAACTTCGATCTGAGGAAAAATTAAAATCGCATTTTGAGTCGTTGGGAGTTGGACAGGTGGAGTCTGCTAGGTTGGTTAGACATATGGGAAAATTGAATAGAAAGATTACTAGACGTGAGAACGCGCTTATCGCGTTGGAAAAAGCACATATACAATTAGCTAAGAACGTTTTTAATGCTATTAAAAAGCGGAAATGGTATCATTTCGGATTTGGATTCAAACCAAAGCCTATTTCGGGTTCCGAAAAAAATAACAACGGTAACAGTAACAATGATGATGATCCTTCATTGGAACTAGAAGCTGGTAATTCCAAAGAATATCAGCATCTTCAATCATTCGTTGATTTATTGGATAGACGAAAAAAGAGAAAATCAAACACTTCTGAAGATCAAAACCAATCTGTAATCAAAACTTCTGCAATTTCCGCAAACACAAGCACTTTCTCATCAAGCGAAGATTTCCTAGATCAAGAAGATGGCTATGGCCGTCAATTTCTTATCTGGGAAGCACTCGCACAGCTTAAAAAGTCAACTTTGGATAAATATCAGCCAACTCATAGAACCGGATATTTTGGGACTGGGAATCGCGTGCGTTCAATCGATCATTTCCTAAAAAAATTCAATTTTTTGGATAGGCGTATTGCAGAAATACGCGCGAAGTCCGTAAACGAGAGACCACCCAGACCAACGAGCACTGGCTTTGTCACATTCACTCATCATACTAATGCGAATATGGCCGCACAATGTATCATGAGCACAAAACCGCATACCTGTACCACGAAAATGGCACCTGAACCCCGAGATATACTTTGGGAAAATTTATCGATGCCTTTTCGGGAAAAAATGGTACGATCCTTGATTGTTAATGCTAGCGTCTGGTAAATTTACAATTACTGTTATTTCATTCTCTTTCATAAATCATGTATAATCAATCGATCTATCTCTCTATTTTTGAAAAAATTACATTAAAAATTAACCATCCTTGTATCTTATTCAATCCGTCTGCCAACATTCTTTTAAATAGGGCTTTAACGATATTTTGGCTCTTTCCCATATTCGCCTTTCTTACCCTTACCTCGATTGATTCTCTTTCACAAAGAATTCATTTTTTGGGTCCATTTTTAGAGGCACGACCTATTGTGCGTACAATATTACAGAACGTGTTACCGACCGTATTGGTTTCTTTCTTTATGGCCATGTTACCTTGGATTCTAATGGGTGAATTATTAATATTTCTTTAATTTTTTGCATTGAAATTAATCATTGCTAATCAATTATATTTTCAAATTACAGAAATATCGAAACAAGAATGTTTTCCCTCTTATTCTGAACTTGAGGAGGCTGTTTTAGTTCGATATTATCAATTCTCTTTTTTCAATGTGTTTATCGTGTTTTTATTGGGTATAACATTTCTCGAGTCAATATTTGACGTGATAAATCAACCCACCAGCATTATAGAGACACTAGCAAAAAGTTTACCACAGGTAATTATTTATTCGAATTCAAAAAAACGCGTGAAACGTCATTTTATCTAATACCAATTTTCTTTTTGTAGGGGGCAACATTTTTCATAAATTATATTATTTTCAATATTTGTACTCATGGTCTTGAACTTTTACAAGTGGGATCACAACTCTTTCTTCATATAATCCTTACGTCAGAATTCATCGCCACAACTCCGCGAATGCTTCAACGAGTTACCCATCCATGGTCCTTCCAATTTTACTACTATTATCCAAATCATATACTCGTGCTCGTCATCACCATCACTTACTCCACGATAAATCCGTTAATTCTAATATTTTCCCTTGTCTATTATGCGGTGGCCTTAGTAGTGTATAAGCATCAATTTGCGTATTGTTATGTACGACGTTATGAATCTGGCGGGAAATTTTATCGAAGAGTTTTCGGTTATACTACTGACGGATTGATTATCTTTCAACTCACCATAATTGGATTGATTTGGCTAAGAACAGCTCTTATCGTAGGTGCCTTTTTAGTGCCATTGCTTGCCGGGACTATCTATTTCAAATATTATTGTCATAAAACTTTTCACTCGAGAACTCACTATATGGCCTTGGATACCCGGCTTGAATTGGAAGCTGCCGAAAAAGATAAACAAGATGAATCGCAAACAGCAGATGACCAGACTGGAAATAATTCATCCGTAATGGCTTCTCAATCGGAAAGAATTCAAAGTGAAAGAGAAGAGGCGGAAAGAAAAGAACAAGAAGAATCTTCTAATCTCAATGCTAGTATCGAGCCAATAATTTCGCAAGATGCTGTCGCCGAAAGTTTCAAAAGATTGTCGGAAAATAATGAAAGCATTGATAGTCTCTCTGATAATTCTACCGCAGTCTACAAAAGTTCTGATAATAATAATCGAGGAACTAATGATCAGTCCATTCACACATCAAAACGCGAGGGACCTCGTGTTAGACTCAGCTTGGGACCGACGACAACTGCAGTGCCAGGACAGAGCTCAGTTGATCTCACAAAAGACACGTCATCAGATGAACTAAATGTCGACATTTCAACAAACGGACGCACTACACCTATATTAAAAGTGGATATTGCGCCATCAGGATACAAAGGAATAACAACTAAAGCAATACCGGGGTCACCAATAATGGTTTCTACTTCTAATGAACCCATTCCTTTAAAAAAGAAAGATGGCGATGATTCCAAAAATGCTGCAGACGTTCTCCCAGAATCTCGAAATAATGCTGAAAAACAAAAAGTCATAACATATTCCACTTCACCAACTGCTATGTCTCCAAATCTAATACGTTCCACAAGTTTTCTAAACATTCCTACGCACACACCAAGAACTCCTTCTGGAATCTTATCACGTGCACTTAATCTGACACACGATCCAAATTTTCAAAAGATTCAGGATGACAAATCATCTTATCAAACGTACTTTCATCCGAATCTCGTAAAAGCATTAAATCGTAAACTTTGGCTACCACGAAATCCCCTCAAGAAAATTTCGGTCGAGGATACAATCGAGTTGGATCGTGCATTGACTTCAAGTGAAGGTGGAAGTGGAGTAGTCGGGTATTGGGGTGGAACTTCTGGATTTCTTGGCGAAGCTAGAATCAGTATGTATGATACCAATATATTACCAACTTTTCCGGGTCACGTAAAAGCGGCAACAGATGGTGGATGTGGTGGTGGTGGTGGCGGCGAGCAAGTAATAATACATCGCCGTGCAATTACTGATAATGTGATCAGTCCGATTTCACGTGAATTTAATGGAGATTGCGGTGGCGAATATTTTCCACCTATGTCGCCTTGTTCACCAGATGAAGAGGGCTTTGTGAATAAGGATGATTTTGCGGTTGGTGAAGTGGAGTCAGGTGAATTGACAAGTGGCGAAACTTTTTAATTACTATATATTTTTTCCAAAAACACTATCAAGACATAATTTTCTTAAGGGAGAATTTAAAAAAAACCGGTAGAACACATTTATTTGTTGACATTTGTGGGAATAAACAATGAATTAATAATTAATTAGTCAATTTTTTATACAATCTTTCGCATTTTTCTTTTTCTATTATAAAATAATTTATATTTATTATTTTTAAAAAATTGTGCACTCTTTATTTTGCAGATTTTAATTACACTCGATCTTATGTGATCAACTTGTATTATAATATATAGTAATATAATAAAATAATTATAATATGATCTCAGATTGATTAAACGATAGATTTTAATATTTAAAAATCTCCCGCATTATAAAATAAAATTTAAGTTAGCTTTATCAATGGGTGATAATAAAAATTCCAGAGAATGCAATTTATTCCCAAAATTTATTAAATAGACTAATTTCGATTTTTTACATATTTAATTAACACAAAAAGTTCCCTATATATTTAAAAAAATATATATTTAAAAGTCATCTAAAAACCGTTATTTCTAGATTAGGAGATATTGTGACGCAACAATACATATCGATTTAATTCTGTGTATTCGTACAAAATACTCTCCGGTCTAGTGTGTAGTCAAGAAAGACTACTAAAACTTGATGGATTATAAGGAATAATAAAAATTCGTTATAATAAATAAAAAATATTACATGTATCTCTAAATGATTTTGTTGATCACAGACACAATAGCATAGGATTCTATAATTATCT